CTGGTGAAGGGACTGATGACACCCCTGAGCTGCAGGGCATCTCCAGTGCTCAGTGGGTGTCTCAGATCGTGGCTCTTCACCCGCGTCCACTGCAGCCCTTCCTCTGAGCAAGGGTTTTGCTGTCACCCCCAAGCAGAGGACACTGGGCTTGTCCAACAGTCCTTGATGGGCATCTTTCTGCCTGGACACCTCAGAAGCACCCAAAGGGGCTCAGAAAAGCATTTCCCACTCCCTGTGTCGTGTAGCAGCCAACACCATACTACAGGCAGGGGGCGGAGCCAAATCTGCAGAGGGCACAAATGACAGCTGGCAGGGTAACATGCCCCTGTAAGGCAGGCAGAGGTCCCATACCTTCTCACTGGCATTTGCTTGCTGTGCCAAGCCCAGCTTTCCTCCAGTGTGGTTGTGGGCATTTGCCAGGAGGGGACATTCACCCTGCCTAGCGCTTGCAACTGCATCACCCACTTATCAGCTTGACTTTTTCCCAGCAGAGGCTCACACTGTACTGCCAGCCCCTCTCCCTTCTCCCAGTCCGAGTGCCTGGTGCTGCAGCCTCCAAACCGAGTGCCTGGCCTGATGTGGTTCAGCTGATAGTTGGGTGCAGAGGTCGGCACTGGCTGTGCAGAGGGCAGATGCAGAGCTGCTCTCCCTGTGCCGTGGCTTGTACCATCTCATTTCTGTCCTGTCAAGCCACCTCTACTATGCCTTCGCTCTTCACCTCCTCCACAGCCTCTGCGAGCAGGCTGCCTGGCAGCATCCCTCCCTGCACCAGGGTCTGGATCTGGCTGAGCTGTGCACTGGGCTGGCGTGGGCTGTGCCGTGTCTCTCTCTCAAGGCCTCCTGCCTGGGACAGAGCACTATCTGTGATGCTTTGGGAGCAGCTCCATCCTCCTTGGCATCAGTTAGAGCAGAGAACTTTCCCTGAGAAGGAAACGATATGAATCAGCTCTGCTTTTTCATGCTCTCCACAGGCAGAGAGAAGAGGGGAGTGAGCTGGGCTGGGCATGGGCACTGTGCACCAGGGACTGTGAGTCCCTCTGACAGAGGCGCCTGCAGCTTCGCCTGCTTCTCTCCCCATCCCCATCACTTTCAAATCATCTCTCTCTGCCACAGAAATGCCTCTTGTTCAAGCACTGCAAAAACACTCTTTGTACTTTGAATAGGACTCTTGAAGGCGAGGCAACGTGCCAGGCACTGGCAGCCAAGGCAGGGAGGGAGCAGCTAGCCCTGGCAGGCAAACCTCACTCTGCTTTTGGGGACCAGCCCCTGCGCAGACCCAGCACCGGGTGAGTGCTGCCGGGCCCTTGCCTGCAGCTGGGGTTCCCCTTGCCTGCACCCTGGCCCTGCACGTGGTTGCTGGAGTTTGGACATGTGTGTGGCACGTCCCTGCCTGCCACACATGGGTGTCTGCCCTCCGCAGCCAGCCCGCTCCTGGCTTGTGGTGTTATAGTTTTGGAGCACCATCTGTGCCTTGCTTGTAAATACAGATGGCTTGAGTGTCCCCAGGGATGTGCTGTGGGCTGCCCCCAGCACAGGGGAAGGGAGCACGGGCACAGAGCAGGGCACCAGAGCACAACCTGTGCCTAACCCCCTGCTAGCCCCTGCAGACTGTCCTGCCGACATGGCGAGCGCTCATGGGGCAGAGCCTGATGCTGAGGACGAAGCCAAACCCGAAGAGGCTGTCTACGAGGAGGTGATACCCTGCGAGAGGATGGAGCTGAGCCAGCGGCTGGCTGTGGAGGAGCTCATCACCACTGAGGCCAGCTATGTCCACAATATCCAGCTCTGCGTATCGGACATCCGAGCACACCTCCAGAAGAAGCAGGTTAGAGGGGGGTATATCCCTGACCAGGGGCTGGGGACTGTAGGGTGAATCTGTTGAGAGCTGTGAGATGGCCAGATCATTGCAGGGAGGTCACCACATGCCCACCTTCCACCTTCCTGGGCTGCCTCCAAGCAGCTGAGGGTCCTGGGTCAGATGGACATTGGGTCTGACCCAGTACAGCCATGATATGGCTTTAACCCTGTATCTGCATGGCCTCATTGCCCTCCACGGGAGCACAGCCATGTCTCAGCATTCCCAATGCCTCCTGAAACAAAGCATTGCTCCAGCTCCTTGGGTGTTGCATGGGACAGCTAGAAGGACACGAGTGCTCAGGAGGGTGTGAGTACCTGAAGAACACATGGTCCACCTCTGTCTGATGCATTTCGCTTACCCTGGGACGTCTTTGTTCCCCTCAGCTGCCTGATCTTGACCTGGAAGGACTCTTCTCTAACACTGACGACATCCTCCATGTCTCCAGACGATTTCTAAAGGGTCTTGAGGCCACAGCCACCCAGGAACACGAGCAGCTGCTCTGCATCAGTAAGCGATGCAGCGCCGAGAGCCGACCCGCGCCCACCCGTGCCTTTGCTGGTGCTGGCAGTGCTGCTGCCTGGCACTGTGCCCAGGTGCAGCCCTCAGCCCACCCGCTCCAATGCCTCCTGTGCCTCCCTCTGCTCTGGGAAGTGCTGCTGCCTGCACCCCACCGTCCATGGGAAGCCACCCAACCTCACCCCAGAGGAGTAAGGTGGACCTGCCCAGCCTGCAGAAGGCGAGACAGGGGCAGCATCAGGCCCAGCTTAGCGGAGGTGCCCGGGGACGCAGAGCACTGCCCCAGCGTGTTTGGCTGGCACCACTCTGCCGCCTTCACCCTTCCAGCAGGCTGGGGAGAAACCTCCGCCTTTCCCTGAGGCCGTACGAAAGGACCATCCTTTCCAGCCTCATTCTCCTTCCCCAGGCACCCTGTTCCAGGAGTTCAAGGAGGAGATGGAGACCGTCTACAAGATCTACTGTGCCAGCTACGAGCATGCCCTCCTGCTCGTGGAGAGCTACTGCAAGGACCCCAGGCTGCAGGAGGAGATCTTGGAGACCCTGAATGCAACAGTGTAGGTACCTACTCCTGAGGTGACCACCTCCCTTTTCCCTGTTTTACCTTCTGTCCTTGCCCTTCTCTTGGGACAAGCTGCCTGCACAGATATGTGCCATCACCTTTGTGGCATTGCCTGGTGTGGTCCCTGGCACCCTGTCCTGCATCCTCGGGGCCATCTGCCAAAGGGTGCTACAGGCTGGTGGTTTTTATGGTGGACACCAGAGCAAGGGATGGGGTGGCGTCTACAGGGCCTGACTATTCCACGCCCTCACATCGCTCACAAGCCCAAGAGTTTGTGTCCCCAGACATGTGTTCCCCAGCTTCAGCCTGGCCCCAGGGCACCTGCTGGACCCCTCCTGCACTATCAGGGTGGCCACAAACACTGTTGGAACCAGGAGAAGGAGAAGTGCCAGCAGAGATGCTGCTGGGATTTCTGCTCCCTGTTTCTGGGCACAGAACTCTCTAACGCACCATGCCTCGCGTGCGGGTTGAAGGGGAGCCCTGCCTGTGCTGTGCCCACACCCTCCCTCATGCTGCCCTCGGAGCAAGCGCTGATCCCGTGTTTCCTAGCTAGACAAGCGCAGCGCTGTTCAGCGAGGCAGGGTGCCCGCCCGGGGCTGGCACTGCCTTCGGGGCTGGCGGGGATGGCGTCCTCCTGCCAGCACTCACAGGGAGGTGGCCCCACAGCTGGCAGGGAGCAGGCGTTCACAGCCAGAAGCCCCTCACGGCTGCTGGGCACAGCTCACCTGTGGGTCCAAAAGCAGCAAAGCTTCCCCGCAGCTGGAGAGGTGCTGCTTTCTCCCCAAAATGCTTGCAGAGAAGCTGGGAGGAGCTGGAAGGCGGAGGGGCAGCCCTCCACACTGACCTCAAGTGATTCCCCTCTCTATCAGACCTCACACAGGTGCATCGAACCTCAGCTTCTTCCTGGTGATGCCGGTGCAGAGGATCACCAAATACCCGCTGCTGCTGGGGAAGATCCTGGAGAACACCCCCACCACCTCCAGTGCCTACCTGGCCCTGCAAGCAGCCGTCCGTGCCATGGCCCAGGTCAACGCCAACATCAATGAGTACAAACGGCGCAGAGAAGTAGGTAAGCGGGCAGGGGGCACGGCATCTGGGAAGTCCCAGCCCAACCCTGGTCCTCTCCTCTTGGTGTTAGCACTAATCCCTACTCAAATCAGTTCAAAGCTCTCCTGGCCTCCACCCTTCTTGCCTGGTGGAGCCACAGGCACGTGCAGGCAGCGTGCGGCACTGCTCTGGTCCTGCAGATGCTACTCTGGGCAAGACCTGAAGGCTGCAGGAACAGGGTGCCATGGAGGGGCTGAGCACAAAACCAGTCTGTATGCATTCCCGGGGCTGGGGAGTGGGAAAGAACAGTCCTGCCCTTGGGATAGGAGAAATCAGGCTCCCCACAAATGGGAGCTGGCTCTTCTTCTTGGTTTTTGTGATACTTTCCCTGGGGCTGCTCCTGTTTGATGCGGATTGTACTTATCCTGTTGATCGCGACTTGTCAGCTCCAGCCCTCGGCACTGCTCACCCGGGTTGCCTGCTCAGGCTGCTGAGGATGCTGCCCTCAAGTTTCCTCTCTTGATCTTTTTTCCTCCCACCTTGTGTGCCCCGACCCGAGGCAGCAACCAAATACAACAAGGCCGAGCATCTGACCCTGCGGGACCGCCTCGCGCGCCTCAACACGCACTCCATCGCCAAAAAGACCACGCGCCTGAGCCGGCTCCTCATGCACGAGGCTGGCATCATGGCCAAGGTGGGCAGCCCACAGCCTCTCCTTGGCTCGTTTCTGGGGCTTTCTGCTGGTTCCCGATACGCCTGGTCAGCGGGAGGGGGAGAGCGGAGCCAAGGTGGCACGGCGGGTGCTGACACCCAGTGGCCCATGCTGTTGTAGAGCCACAAGCCTATTTTCAAGCAGCCTAAGGATGACTCCTGGTCCCCCATTCCGAGGATCAGTAGGGTAGGAGGGATGCAGGTACACACCTCGCTGCAGGGGAGCCCTTTGACCCCCAAAACACCCACAGGATCCTCGGGCACCCCGGCGAAACAAAAGACACCCCAGCGTTTCCCAGCACTGCAGTCAGACCAATAGCCCCATTTCTACTGCATCCCAAACACCCTACATCTTGGCTCTTTTCAATTTCCTGGAGCCTCTTGGGATCTCCCCTGCCTGTCCCCACCACTGTGACCTTCATGCAGGTGCCTGGCTGCTTTCTGTGTTAGCACCCAGTGAGGGGCATCAGCCCTACCAAGGCGTTGCCTGCCCGTGCTAGGGATAAGCTGCCACTTGCCTTGCAGACACAGGACAAGGAGTATGACGACCTGGAGGAGAAGTTCCAGTGTGTGGTGTCCAGCGTGACCACGCTGAAGGAGAACGTGGCATCCTACCTGGGCCATTTAGAGGTAAAACCCTGACCACTTGCAGGGGGTTGGCCCCATCCAGGCCTCAGGACCTATGTCTTGGGGTCACAGAGTACTTTCAAGCCCTATGGAAACCAGTAGCGGTGGGGATGTTCAGGGACTTACATCTCTCAGCTAAAACATACTCTTGTGCCAGGGGCTTGCACAACATCTGAGGATTGTTCAGGTCCAGAGGAGCTTAAAACAAAGTTGAGGCATTGCTGACATAGCCTGAGCTGGGTGTCATTTGAGGCCAACCAGTCCTTAAACTGATCATTATTTCAAGGCATTAAATAGCTGAAAAGGCCAAGCGTTGTTCAGCCTGGGAATTCTCGCATTAATAACAGGTATGAGGCAGAAGCATCCCCAGATCAGGCCTGACAACAAACTTCCCTTCTGAGATCACCTGCGTCAGTAGCAGCTGTGATTTTCTCATGGAAATCCCTTGGGGCATCTGAGGGAAATGAAACTGAGTGATGGCAAAGCTTGCAATCTCCAGACTCTGTATTATCAGGAAAGTCTCAAGAAATGGCAGAGGGTTCCAAAAGCAGCAATTCCAGGGCTGGAAAGACCTTGTCATGAAAATATTGACAAGGGCTCCCCATATAGAGTTGAGAAGGGGGAAAGGGGGATTGAAAGACTCCCTGTAGGCCCAAGAATAGGTAAAATAGGGTCAGAATAGAAAACACAAGGATGGCAATCTGTGTGACTGCAAGATGTGGCATCGGCTAGAGGAACAGGGGTATGACTGTTTCTTGGGACATTGGGAGCTCCTGAGGACCTGCCTGCCACGGCCTCTCATTGAGCTGCATCTCTAAGGCAGCTCCTTCGCTTCAGCTGGGGTATCAAGTGTCTGCAGATAGGCTGGGCAGCCTAGATAAGCTGTGGTTAAGAGTCATACTGTGGCTTGGATGCAGCTTCAGAGGCTGGTAGGGGAAGGTGGGGCTGCATGCGTGGTCCATCTCTCTGAAAGCCTCTCACAGCCACCCTGAGGAGCTGATGGAGATGTGTTTCCATAGGGCAGAGGTAGCCTGGCCTCTCTTTGCCCTGGCTGGCAGTTCTGTCTTGTGCATCTGTCTGTACCAGTGCCCCTACCACAAGGAACGCAAATCTAGTTTCATACAACATCATCACAACCACCTCTGCTTGTGCACTCAGGAAACACCACAGGTCTCAGAGCTGCTGCCTTCTGCTCAAAGCATCAATCCCATTTTCCCCTTCTATATTTCCATCTCCAGTCCCTCCTGCAGCAAGGAGGACTGCAATGGAAAGGCCGGGGTTGATGGAAATCAAACAGAAACTGCTCCTCCTGCTCCAGGACCAACTTCAGGAGCAGCACTCCAAGGAGCAGAAAAGTCAAGCCCAGGCAGCAGCAGGAGACCAGGTTTCCCTTGGCACTGGCAGCAGGCTGGGGCTCAGAGCTCAGTGCTCCCTTCTCTGGGTTGAGACACTGTGGGTCAAAACCTGCCTCCAGGCAGGAAAGAAGCTACTGCCCACAGGGTTAACATTAGAGCAAAGCTTCTCAAAGCAGAGGAGGGTCTCCACCCATCCCTTCCTTAGCTGCTTGCCCTTCCCCCCACTGTCCATGCAGAGGCAGGGGAAAGGTTTTGCGCACAAATACAAGGAACCGCAGAGCTGTTAGAGCACCAAACCCAAACATCAAAGCGCCAGGCAGCATCAAGCTGGGGCAGGCTGACCCGGGGCCACAGGGCAGCCTTGGCCACCTTGCTGGGGTAGGAGTACTTTTGCAAGCTGTGCACGACCCCTGCTTGAGGGGAGTTTGTTAATGCCCGAGCGAGCTCCCTGGCTCGCAGACCAGGGTAGCGCAGAGCATCGGTTGCCCTGGGCTGCTAGCACAGAGCACCCAGGCTGGGACATTGGTATGTCTTTGGGAACACAGGGACAGGTTACAGATGGGTTAGCTAGTTGCTGAGCAGCTTCTGCAGGTCAGGTCTGATGGCTTTCTCCCTTTCAGGTGTTCCTGTTGCCCACCCCACACAAGCGTGAGCTGCAAATGGACGAGGGACCTGCCCAGCAGTACCGCCACTTTGCAGAATACCTCCATTGCACCATTTTCCCAGAATTTGTAAGTGCTCCTTCCCTGTAGATCTCCTTCAGGGTCACAGCCAAGCATTGCTCTCACACCTTCTGCCAAGGCACAGCAGGGGCTGGCTGCTTCCCCAGGGCAGGGCAGCCAAGAGTTGAGGGGCACCCTGGAGCAGGCAATGTCCTCACCAACAGGCACAGTCCCCTGGGGCCTGAACATAAAGGAGCGGGTAACAGGGTCTATCAGCAGTCCCAGACACTGAAGTGAAGAACCAGCTCCAGGGTCCATCCAGGAAACAGGACCAGAGAGAAGCTACAGCACAGCTCTAAAGTCCATCCAGGGCTGGAGACAAGCTGCAACATGCATCTAAGAGCTGAGCTACCTAGAGCAAAGGTCCAAGGTCCACCCAGGAGACAGAGGCAGAAACCAGCTCACCCACGGCAATGCTCAAGTAGCAGCTGAAGGCCCTTAAATGGGTTGTGGGCAGGGGAGTGAGTGGGGACATCAGGTGAGGCTGGTCTGGTCTATTAAAGACTACTTGTGCCGTCAGGGCCTTGACACGTCTGTGGCCAGCCATGCAGGCAGGGCTGCAGTGGAGCACTGGATGGTGGAAAACCAGGTGTACTGTTTATTTGACTTGCACAAGCTGTTCGCTGCCAAACCTCAGCCCAACCTTCCCACATCTTGTGTGCACCCATGCTTGCCTTTGGGAGCCCAAGAGCCCCCCCATCCTTCCACCACCACTGCCTGGTTGTCCAGGACTCCCTCTTGGATGATGACTGCCACTGTAAATGCAATCAGGGAGGTTTTTAGGAGCGGTGAAGAGTGTGGCAGGGCAGCCTGAATCCCACACCTGGATGCTGGAATGCCCGGAGAGCAGCAGCATGGGGAGGGGAGGGAGAGCAGCTACATGGGATAACCACATAGACTCAGGGCTGAGGGCCTCTGTCAAACCAGGATGCTATGACCTGCATGGGACAGTCACTGCAGCACACTCCTTGGCCCATGGGACTGTGTGTGTGAGGGTCCTACCCGATGATTTTCATGGAGCGTGAGTTTTGAATCATGGCATGTCTGCTATCTACCAAGGGTTCATTTTGGTTGGCATCCTATGTGCCTTCAGGGAAGGATGCCTCGATGCTCCCTGCTCCACACAAGCCCTTCAGCAGGTCCCGGAGCTTTTTCTTCTGTGTGAGGCAGTGCCCCATGCAGACAGCTGGGCCTGTCTGGGGGGCTCACATGGAGATTTGGGTTCTCTTGCTCCACAGAAGCGACGCCTGGACAGGCTGGGG